TCCTTTCCTTTCCTCTCTTCTTTTTTTCTTTCCTAAGGAGAGATTCTAAAGAAGCGGCTTCTGATCTTCTTCACGGCGGTTATAGGTGCATTTGTATTTCACCCTCCCTCTCTAAGGTGACATCATCATCTCCTTCCTTCCATAAGCCACTCTTTCCAACCTTCAGAACCAAAAATCACGAGTTCATTTTTCTCTGTCTTCAGCGAAAAGTCCAGGAGGAGCCAGTCCCAACTCGTGCGACTTACCACCCCGCATGTGGCCTCAGAGGTGTGTGCTGGTTCCAAAGCTCATCGGCTCGCCTGCGTTTCCCTCTTTCGAGTCATTTTATGGTTTCCACTAACTTCTGACACCTTTTTGGTCTATGGCTGTTCAGCGAATTAAACCAGCAAAACAGATAAACAAAGGAAAGATCTCTTTTATGTGGTGTCATGTCGGGGGTCTTGGCAGCCCACTTTTTGTGGAAAACCTGTTTAGGAATGCTTTCATAAAGAACTGGAACCATAATTATTTGATCTAATGTGATCTGTGGTCGTGTTTCACAAGTTAGCACAGCTTCCTAAAGCGTGAGTTTGGTTTGACTACAGTCACTCAGGCAAGGATAAAACAAGAATGTTATTATTTGTAATTAAGTAGATTTTCTTTTCATTCCTTTACTTTTCTGTGGCTTATGTCATGAATGTGCTTAGGTTATAATGTTCCACCCATACAGAAGTCAACTGCTGCACACCGAAACAATTGCTTTCAGTTGGGGTATCCTTAAAGCTTTGGTGTTTGCTCTATCTGGTCCTTCCACTTAAGAAGATCTACTCCAGGTATCTTCCTACTGAACATCCAGCCTAAATATCAGGCAGCCAGAGCTTCTTCTCAGGGTATCTTTTCCAAACCAGACTCTCTGCCCAGCTATCCCTCAGCTGGCAACGGGTCCTTCTCCCCATCACTGGTTCCTTCTCCTTCTCCTCCTTCCTTTGGTGTTTGGTGTCATAGAAGAGTATCAGACTACCATTTTTTGCCTTGAAAGAGGAGAGAAAACTCAAGAGGAACTTATCCACACCCTCTGCAGAGGCCAGACAACCATGGGTTGAATGCTTTAATCTGGATTCCGGGATTGAGGGGGGCTTGGACTCAAGGACCTTCATGGCCCCCCTAAACCAAGAACCCTTTGCCATTTGCTCCCCTCCCACCCATGACAAAGTTTGGGGGATGTCTTGCTGTCTGACTGGCTTAAGGACTATATTTCATTTCAAGAAAAGGGTAAGTAAGTGACATTTGAAGTCTTCCCTCCAGTAGCTCCAGTCCTCTGGTGAAAAAACATCACAATTCCTTTCAGTTGCTTCTTCCCTTTGCCAATACCCCCTCTCAACAATTTGCTGCAGATGTTCCCATACAGGGTCCATTTTCACTGCAAATTTCAGTATACGTTTCAAACTAAAAAATTATAAGCATCATGTATATCAAACTGAAATTTTAAAAAGGTCATTTGAATCCATGAAATTCACCATGTTTCAGTACAGAGCCACCAGGTCTGGGCTACAAAACTCCAGACAACTGCTAGATGTCTACAAAGAGGTCACCTGGACTTTAGCAGCCCCAGTCGGGAGTCCTAGTTCATCCTTAATACAGTACAGGTGGTCCCTGACTTATGATGGCAATTGGGATCAGATTTTCTGTCACTAAGCAGTGTGGTTGTAAAGCGCAACCACATTGCATAGCAACAGCAATCCCTGCAGTCTCAGTTGCCACCATTAACCAAATCCCATGGTCGTCAGGTGAGTCAACTTCCTGCCGCTTCCCACAACCAAGTCAGTGGGGAAGCCAGCAGGAAGTTGCACGTCCCAGGTGGCTCACAAGCAAAGCAGGCTAGCAGGCAGGTAAGTGGCTGCTGCCAGGTGATGGAGGGTGTGAGGGGCTGTGCAAGGGTGCACGGGAGGTGCAGTGAGGCTCGGGGAGAGTGCACGGGGGTGCGTGAGGGTGGCATGGCGAGGCTCGGGGAGGTTGTGTGGGGGTACGCCACTGGCTGGCGCAGTGCAAGCGCAGAGGGACTGGGGGAGGATGCGTAGGTGAGGGGAACCAGCAGGGAAGGCTGCACATGGTGGTCATGTGATCACTGGGTGCTGCAACCAGTCATAAATGCGAGCCTGGCACTGACAATCATGTGATTGTAGGGTTCTGGGATAGCTGGAACTCTGTGGACCAGCTGTAACCACCATTTGTTCAGTGCTGTTGTAACTTTGAACTGTTGCTGAATGAATGGTTGCAAGTCGAGGACAACCTGTAGTAAGCTAGCATTCCTGTAAATTTTCTCCCATTCAGATGAAAAATAAAAATGTTATGGGAACTTTAAGGCCAACTTTTAAAGGGGTGTAGCTCTAAAGTCTTGCTCTGATTTGTATTAAATTTGCAATATTTTCTTCACTTACAATGTTCCTGCAAATTATCTTGCTCTGATTCAAAAACAGGACTAGTACATCCATTCATTTATATTTTCAAAGCTTTGGTTTTGGTGATCCCCACACCACAGTTTGGATAAATCAGGCTGGGCCGGTTCCTCAACAAAAACTATGAAGGTTTGGCTCAGAACCCACGGGGGGAGGGGGGGGCTGAGTGGTCCTTCCACAGTCCAAGTTTTTCATTTGGTTGGTCTGCTGGATCCTAAAGGGGGGGGCTCTGATTTTAGAGTCATTTGCCAGAATGAGCAAGCTAAGAACAAATGCTGAGTTTGATTTCCTTACATATTAAAACATTTTTGGTACCTTGGAGTTGGTAAAGTTCATGCTCAGGTTCGGCTGTCGTCTTACTGCCACTGTTTATTTCCTCCTATGAATAATAGCAATGTAAATTTATTTTTAAGAAGCAATTTATCAAAATAAATTGTGTAGCTAGTTGGCATTCTTACTAAACAGATCCTCTGTCTCTCTTTCTCTCTCTAAAATTGAGAACGGTAAGTAAATGCCTTGTAGTGAATGGCTTTCAGGAGGAGGGACCCGTGCTGGGGGCAGGAGTGGCCGCAGCTCTCCTGACAATGCCTGCTAATGTGCTGTGGTTATGGGTTATGTAGTACCTCCCACTGCTGCTGCCCATCGTCCTAGAGAAAGGAAATGCCTTGACCAGGCTCCTCCCTCTTTGCAATGGCTGGCAAGAGAGGTGGAGCTTCCAGAGCCGGAGCAACTTGACTCGCCCATGAACTGGCCGTAAAAATGGCAAGAGTTGGAAAGGGGAAGACCAGCCTGGAGCTTCGCCTCTTGGTTCCCAAGCACTGAGGTGGGAGGCCAGAGAACAGCACTCTGGTCTCCTCTAAGGGGATGGAACAGAAGCACCAACCTAACAATTTAAAAATGAAGTTATTAAAAAATAAGAAAAAGGAAAAGTAGAACTTTTCAAGGCAGTAGAATGCTGAAGCAACGGCAAAGGGCTGGAATAAGGCATTTCAGCGATAAGATCTCAAGTAGCATTTCAGGCAATAGTCTCCCATATGGGAAGACTGGAAACAGATCCAAGGATCTGAGGTTCAAACAGCTAGAGCTGCATGTGGGTACAACAGTTGCAAGGCTTAGATTAGTGCCATGGCATGTGGGAATGACCTTGGGAGACAGGGTGACAAGACACAGCCAAGGGAACAACGGTGAGAGAAAAGGCAGCTGAGCCCCCAGCAGGAATGTGGATGGGGCAAGAGGCTCAGAAGGGCCCTCCCTCGTTTCTTGGGCTGTAAAGGAGACGTGCGGAGAGATGTGCTTTCAGACTTGCAAGATTCTGTTAATGTAACCTTACAATAAAGTAGAATTAGCTCATCTGGCTGTGCTTCGTGACTGGACTCCCTTGCAAGGCTGACAATTAACATGAAAAGAAGAAAACTTCTGATACGGAACTCCTTGAAACAGCAGACCCGAGAACAAAAGAATCTGTATGCAGCTCCTGGCCTACGATGTGCATTTCTCCTCCACATGGTTTCCCCCATTTGCTGTTCCAGCCAGTTGGCTCTTACTATCCCCTGACTCCCATTGACTGCAACTTTCCCTCAGAGCTTTAGGAGCACCTCTTTGTAGCTCCTTTTGGTTGGTGGTGGTGGTTTGGCTTGGTTTGGTTTGGATTCAGTCTTGATCATTCTTTTATTTCATTTTCTTTTTAATCTTGTTATTGAATACTTTTTAAAAAAAGAATATAAACAAAAGGAGATTCAAAACATATAAAGTACAAATAGTGAGACACTGATAGGTAAACAACTGTCAGAAAATCTACTCTCTTCCAATATATTATCCATTACTTGTGGTATTATAAAAATATATCATTTTTTGAAAAAGAAACCAAAAATCCCTATTAAGCTTTAAACTAAAGAACCTGGTTAACACAGTATAAATCACTAATTAAAACTATAAACTACAATACATTAAATCAATACTAAAAATCTAATTTTCCATGAAGTTAAAATGTAGACTCTGTATGTAGGAAAACCCAAATTTGGAGCATGGTACCAATCTGTCTACAATTATAGTATGAGAATGGTTTCTAATTAGAACTGAATTCTGCATGAGATTTACTTTTCAGGTACAATGTTATCTTGGACATAAAAGCACGCTCCCACAATTTGGTTAGTCATTTTTCCAAAGAAAGAACCAAACATCCCTTCCATCCATTAGCCTATATAAAACTAATTCAGTATACTTTGAAGGAACATGTGGTGGAGTTTAACAAAAATATCTCAGGTTGGAATTGGATTGCAGCTCTCAAAATATGCTCCATTCTACTATGAACCATTTTCCGGAACTGTTGAGCTTTACAGCATTACCACCACATACAGAAAAATGATCCAGTCTGTTCATTACATTTAGCAATCAAAACTGGAGTTTTCTGCCAACAATAAAACATACTCATTTTCTCTGAGTATAATATTCAGAGTAAATTTAATATTTTTCTTCCACTGAAATTCCCTTTGTTGCATTTCAATTACTGTATTCAAATTCTGCATCCCTTTAATCATGCAGTCTTTGATCTGTCCAGACTTTGAATCATACTTCACTAATTGTTAATTGATTTATAAAGCCCAGCAAGTGTTTGGCATTGCATGTTATAAGATTTTCACATTCAATCAAGTCTCCCAATATTCCCTCTTTTTCTGCAATTCTTTTGATGCTACACTAAATATTTGGAAATACTGAAACCAGTTGGATGGACTGGACCATTGTAAAGTAAGAGACTCAAGAGATTTTTATCTTCATCCTATTAACAGTTGGACCTTGCAGTCCTCTTAGCTCCTGTTGGCTCCCTAGAAATTTCTGATCCCAGTCTGGCACCTTCTTTCTCCTCCACCCCAGAGACACTTAGCTCTGTCCTTATCATGGACCATAAGCAATCCACACTGTCCATCTGTTTAGTTCTTGCTTTTTGAAACCAGCAAACCAAGCCCATGCTTCCATCTTGCTTATATCCATATACAATTATATCCAGAAGACTCCCTTTTTCTCTTTTCCACATGTTCTACCTCCTTGGTCTCCACCAGGTGATCTGCTTCCTTTCACATCTCCCAACTATCTCAAGACAAAGGTCTCTCACTTTCTTCTTTACCTCTCTCTCTCTTTGCACTACAGCATCTGTGGGAGAGGGGTATGTCAAAAAAGTCAAGATGGCAGGTGTGACAGTACACTTCAATCCCCCGTCTCTTTCTCTTGTGCATGTGCAAAGTTTGTGGCCAAGAACAGGGAGCTGACGAGTAAATCAGCTCCTTCGACCCTCTCTGGAGAAAGAGAGGATGTGAAATTGCCCAAGTTGTGCTCCACATGGTTGCTCCACACAAGGAGACTGCAAGGCAGCAGTTTCCAGAGGGTGGGAGAACTGGGAGACGAGGGAATTTGCGATATTTGCTCCAGCTGCAAATGGAGCCTTTTCAAAGGACACTAAGTTTGCACTTTTCTTGCTAACCACTTTTGGAAATTGCCTACTCTATAGAAGTTAGACGCCTTCAAAATAACAAGGTTGGAAACACCAAGTGAGTGCCTTCAATCCTTAATATAAGAAAATGAAACTGTATCTTTATAGGCTTTAAGAATTCAAAATAAACAGTAAAAAGCAAGACAAAGTTTTGGCTACAGATTAAGGGTTCAGAAAACATTGGAATATTGGATTTCTTATAATTTCTAATGGCATTCAGAGATATTTTTTGAGGAACTTCACTGGGACTTTAAATCAATAATGTCGGCTATGTTGTGTCTTCTTGGGAACAGTCTGTTCCCAGAAGAGGATGTTACAGAAAAAGATATGCCACAAAGTCTATTGAAGATATGAATGAGAATTTGACCAAGAATTTCTCATCAGATTATTAAAAAAAAGAATGGATGAGGCCTTAAAAATTAAGAAGGAAATAAAAATGACAATCCCGGAGAGCAATTGGAACAATTTCTCCAAACAATTGGAAATTGTTTATACTTGTGATGAGAGTGGGAAGTCGCTTTCTTGGGTTTTTTTCTTTTTCTTTTTTCTTTCTTTCTTTGCTTTTTAGCACTTTCTTCTTTCTTTTCTTTTTTAGTTTGTATTATCTTTTACTACTGT